AATTTGGCATAGATATTCTTCTGTGTTTTAGCTGACAGCCCAAATCAACCAAAGATCACAAAAAAAATATTCTGAGCCTAGGGACAAAATTAGATAAAAACTGACACTGCGCACGATTATCCACCCTATGCGGTTAATGGTGCGCACTAGTCAGGGCAATTGTGCGCAACAGAAAACTATTGAAAACTATCGTATATAAAGGGTGGATTAAAAACAAGTGAAACAAAGTACATAATACGTTTATTGCAAACAATATTAAACTAAATTATTGCATAAAAACCAGAACTAGTGGTCGCAAAAGTCGCAGATGTAACATTCGGGGGAGTCTACCCCACTGCAAAGCTCATGGGCCCATTTGCCGCAGATCGCACACTGAAACCAGTATTCGTCTTTCATTCATCTGTCTCCGAGATAGACCTCCGTGTCATCAAGTTCATCATCATCACATAACTGGCTGTCTGAGACTTCTTCTTCAGATTCACTTTCCTCAAAAACCTTCCTTTTAACGGTCTTATTATTTTTAGCGGGATGTTTTGCACTCGCTTTACCTTTTTTTGACGGATTTTTTTTCCAAATTTGCTTGCCTATCTTTTTTTTCTGACTCGCAGGCTATCAAAAGTTCTTTATTGGGTGTCTCCGTTAAAATTTCGGATTTCTGTAAGAGGACGGATAATTGTGCGCGATGCGCACAATTAGCCAACATGGACCTAATTGTAATAAAAATTCACAAAAATGAAATTGTACGTTATTTACCATGGAAAAATTTCTCCAGTAATAGTAGGAGCCCCACTGATTATTTTGGTGAAATTTCCGAAACAGGAATGTTCCTATTTTCAAAGTTATCGCTTGTTTTCACCCGCTTAAATTTTAATATAAACAGTCGGATAAACCGCCAAACACGATCACCGATATGTTTAAGCAGCAAATCGCACGAAAATCAGCGTTACTTTCAAAGACATCTATGAGACGGCGCCACGTGTACGAATTTGATCAAATAATAGGCGTTTTCGTATGGTATTATGGTGCGCACCATTAGCCGCTGCGCACATTTACCCGACTTCCCCCTACGCTTTACGTGAACGGGTTAGTTTGGGTTAGTTTGCATACTTTTGGTTAGTTTCAGAGAAGATGAAACATAATAGATCTGATGATGGATATCTCGGAAACGAAACGCGAGCGACAGAAACGGATTATAGATTCGTGATTAGCGACTAAAATTATACCTTCCTTCAAAAAATATCAAATTTGGAGAGGGTAACGGATAATACATAATACCTAATACCTGAAATGTACTTTTCAATCGAAAAAAGTCGACTTGTTTTATATCTATTCACGTTTTAACGGCACCGTTTTTGGCAAATTGTGAAATGCCAAAAAATAATCAGTCACAACAAGATATATATTTTTCTGTTCTTGTTCTGCCGGCATTTTATTAATTTGCCTGAATTGGTGTCAGCATAACGAAAAATTTATTTTATGCTCGCGTTTTGCCGGCTTTTTGTAAAATGCCTAGGAAGTTTATAAAAAGCCTGAACTTGCATTATGCCTGCGACATATACAATACGTGCGTAAAGCACCTTTTTTCACTCATGTGATTGTCGCACCGCCTTCGGCTCGTGCGTCAAAATTCACATTCGTGAAAAAAGGTTTACTTTACACACTTGTTGCATAAATAACTATTTTTGAATTTTTCGAGCCAAATTCTATATAAATCGCCATATATTTTTTCAGATAGGTATGAATGTAAAAACGCAAACATGAGCGATGGATTTTTTTTTTCTTTTGAAAAATCGCTCTGTAGGTTAAACTGTTGTGAGTATTTGTTCCAAAAATGAAGTCTGTTATTGCTTTATTGACGCCGTAGTTTGGTTTTTCGTGAGCACTGATTTGATGCATTTTTGACTAAAATTATTTAATGCAGCGTAAAACGATTTATTGTAGTGTAATTTTGTGTTTCATTAAGCTTTTTAATGCCTGTCGCAATTGTCTAACTTTTCTTGAACTTTCGTCTCGCGGTTTGTGACTGAATAGCTTTTTGCCTGTAGTGAAGCCTTAAAAATATATGTATTTTGCTTAGAATTACTACCCCTATAATTCTATCCATGTTTTCTGACTGGGAAAATAAGTACCTACCGAAAATCATCACTGCCTCCTAGATTACTATAAAAGTAAATAAAATTTGAATTGCATTTGAATTTTGAATATTTAAATCAATTAAATCCCTAATACTTGAATTAATCAATCATGGAATTTGTGATGGACCCTAATGAAGAGGAAATGGAATCTTGTACCCCACCTGAAATTCACAACAAAGCAAAGTTTCGATGAATTTTTTTAAAGTAAGTAGGTATAGGCAATGCTGTTGCCTACAATTATGTGGTGTTGGAAAGAAAATAAAGTGTAAACCATGCCGGTAAAGTGATTTTTCCAGGCTTCAAGAAGTGCCCGGGCTCGCTGAAGCTCGCCCCTACATTTTTTCTTTCAGCCTAGAAAAATGTCACAATTACCGCCTATTAGATCTACAATATACTATTACCGGTTATTTTGCAACTTTGTCAGTCAGTCAGATTGTTAACAAAGGCAATACTGGCCGAGTTCGTTTTTGTCATCTTTTTCGTCGATTTGCTCTGAAATTTTGACAGGCACGTGACTGGATAAGATAGTTTCAGTTGATAAATCACGTGCCTGTCAAAATTTTGGAGCAAATCGACGAAAAAGATGACAAAAACGAACTCGGCCAGCGCTGTAGTCATAGATAAAGTCCAACAAATACCATTTTAAAGTCACGTGATTTTTCTCTATCCTTGTTGAATACATCTCAAACAGCGGTGATAGTAAAATTGACAAAAAAAATGGTGTCTAATTATTGTTCATAAAATTCTTACCTGAAATAGAATCCGTCACTGTCATCAATTAGTTTGTCAAAGTTATTTTCGAAAATGATACAACGAACAAACACAGCTAATAATTTTGACTATACATATTAACCTTTTTCCAACTCGAAAAGAAGCAAATAGAAAACGGGTTCCCAATTCAAGTTCAGAATGTATTACAAGGGGCAGCAGAAGCGACAAAAGTGAGTCTCGCAACAATTGCAAGTATTAAAATTCCCATCTGATTGGTCAATACTACTTCAGAATCGCGTTTGTAAAATGCTAGTGGGAACATATCTTAAAATTCAATAGTAATTAACCACCAGTAGCTTTTTGTAGGTGATATCAACGACATAATCAATGAACATACGTTTTTTGCCACCATTTATCACGTGACTTTAAAATGGTATTTGTTGGACTTGTCCGACAAATACCTGCCTATAGACTTTATGGCGTTGAAAAAGGAATACTTATCTTATAGGATCTTTATTGTTGTACGAAAATGACCGACAAAATCAGCACGATTTTTTGTATTTTCCTAAAACAACTGTTGAGATTTTGGAACCTCAAGTCGAAGAAGAAAATCAGCAGCAAGGGAGCGATGTAAGCACCTCTTCAAATGAGTATGCTGATTTTTCTTCAGCCACTTCTGATTATGAAGCCTTAATCGAAAATGGAATTTGGGACTTTGTAGATTTACCACCTAACAAAAAACCTTTGGATTGTAGATAGGTGTTTAAAATCAAGCAAAACGAAAATGGTCAGGTAACACAGCATAAAGCTCGACTAGTAATCAAAGCCTGTGCACAACGAAAAGGAGTAGACTTTGAGGAGACCTATTCACCCGTTGTTCGTTAGAGTTCCATTAGGTATTTATTTGCACTTGCTGCAGAACATAATCTAGACATAGATCAGCTAGATGCAGTAACAGCGTTCCTACAAGGTGACCTCTCTTTACCAAACCAAAGGTTGTCGTTAGGAACTCTTATAATGGACTGAAACAGACCAGTTACGTCTGGAATCAGAAATTGAATGCATGCAAAACATATTTCGCAACGAAAAGATCATAATAATATCGTCGAAAACGGATGTTCTAAAAATGCCTCAATACGAACATTTTGAAAAAAGACTTCTTTTATGGGGCGTCCTGTAAGGTATCCAAGAACGCCCAATGGTCGTTTTTTTCAAGTGGAGATATCACAATTACAGTTACAAGACTTTTTATGAAAATATACTTTTAAATTTATAGAAAACGTTCTTTAATATTATTTCTTGTTTCTGGTGGAGGTTTTTAATACCAACTTAAGTTAAACGTCTAAACAATGTCCTTTCTATACCCTTTCATACCACTTTAACATGGACATTAAAAAAACGATTATTGGACGTTTGCTGTTGTGGGTTTCAACAACGTTCTAAAACAGTGGTTTCCATTAACGTGACTTTATTTTTTAGACTTTATGTTTATGAATCTTTTTTGAACGTATTTCGGATGATATTTTATGTCGTTTTGAACTTTTAGAAAACGTTCTTGAACAAATGTTTAAAACACGTTCCATTTTATTCCTCAGAAATTTCGATGGTAAAAGAAATTAAAAAAAAAAAACGTCCATCGTATAGCTTTTGTGCTATTAGGGTGTCCACAATTTGAATTTACCAATTTACAATTCTATTGGTCGGTGGATAACTGGCCGACCAATAGGATAATATAGTTTGCGTTTTCATCCGTCAGATTGTATTATCTTATCTAACAGTTCATCAGAAGTTCTAGTAAGTAAAGTGACGTAGTAAAAACACTTTAGTTAGCGTCGAGGATAGGAAGAAGAAATATTAAATTTTCAAAACAATAGATTCAGATTAATTTAAGTACATAATTATTAGTAACATTTTAAGACGAAGCTATGATGGCTCAAATAGTAACTCTCCAGGTAATTTTTCCAGAATTATTTAATTTGGAAATCATAAATAAAAAGTTCAATTGTTACCTATGTAAATCAATTAAAAAATGCAATTCCTCGCCCTAAAAAAAAATGTTAAGAATAAGGCATTAAAGATAATAATTATAGAAGTTTTAAATTCAGATATTTTATACGATCACATTTGACTGAAATAATTATTGTATCTACTCACCAGAAAAATAATGCAAATTTCCCAAAAAAATAACCAATTATTGTACTTAACAGAACTAGAACCGCACGTACTGTTAAACCGAACTAATCAACGCACTATTAAAAAGAGTAGGTACCTAATACAAGAACCGCGACAGAAATGAAAAACCGATGTTCAATAATAAATAAACAAATTAAACATTGTCAATCGGATGCATGCGAAAATGTGACTGAATAAGTGTCTTGTGAGAGTTGGATTTGTGCGGTGGTACCCCACTCAGGTGTTGGTACCGTGCATACACCTACTCTTACTTTTTATTAATGTGAATGTAAATAAAAGTTCAAGCAAGCGGTGCTCTTGCAGAGTGAAAAAATAAACTGTAATAGTGGATTAGAATGTGGTATTTATGAATTCCATTGAGAGGGTGGATACGTGTGCTTGTGTGTGTTCCTGGTTTTTATACTTTCTTTTTTTGTTGTATCGATGACCATGAAAGGAACGATAAATAATTGATTTAGTTCTTGAGAACTAATATTATAGAACAAGGGCATGTCGAAACTAGTGGACCACAATCTTTTAATATCTATATAACAAATATCGAACTGATGATTACAACTTTGACAACCGGATTAATTCACACGAAGATCAATATCTTGATCAATATTCGAGTCATATTTCTGATTCCGACAATTACCAGGGTTTTCGCCTACCAACCAACCAGCCAAACCCCCAGAGAAGAAGACCTAAACTTGAACTTCCCCGAAAGAAATTTTTTCTAGGTATTCCTTACTCATAGTAAATTCAAAAAACTATGTACTATATCAACGACGTTTCAAATAAATGATGCAAGTTACTAATTCTTAAAACAGTTGAAAAATTTCTAATCAGATTCCCCGAAAATATTGGCAATCAAGAATCACGAAAAAATATCTATTCGAGAATCAACTCTTGTTCCTTTTGTCCAAAGAAACCTTTGTCTTTATTCACAACTAATGCAATTCCTAGCTGATATACTGTAGCTGTTCCTATACCAGAACCTCATAAGAAAGAGATCTTCCCATGCAGTGTCAAGGGCGTAGATACTTTAAATTTCTGGGGAAGGGGGGGTAAAGTTAGGGTTGGCGAGGGGGGGGGGGGGGTTCGGAGAAAAATTCCAAGCTCATTTATTTTTCCAGAACTTGACCTTGGTACTATTATTATTCAAGTAATTACATACTTTTTTTCAGTTTATAATGCTAGTTTTAGGGCCCAATTACAGTATATTTGCATCTGCAAATTTGCAGTTCTGCAAATATGGCTGACTTGCATATGTGCTCTAATTGCAGAAACGAGCAAATTACAGAAAAAAATCTGCAATTCCGTCATATTTATGGAAAAAAAGTGTTTGGGCGCTAATGATTTACCCGTTTTAAATGTCAAAGTTGTCAAAGTGATTGCAAGGATTTACGGGACCGTTTCATCATGCGCAAATTTGCAGGCGATCTGCAAGTGCATTCTGCTTCTGTAATACGAAAAGTCAGACTTGCAGGTCCTGCATTTGTATTTTGGTGTTGCAGAGCTTCTGTAATTCCGGGCTTAATCAGTTTTTTTGACAATTGACAGTTGACACATCAATAAAAATCTACCAGCTTTATATTGGCTGAGTTCGTTCGGCTTTGCACTCTACGGAGCGGAACGGTATGAGCATGGATATCGTGACGTCATAGGCAGAGTGAGCTCTGAATAAGTGTATGTAAGCCGAACGCAGATTGAAGAAAAAAAAACAACAGAATGATGTAAATGGCCAAGTTCATGTTCTTCTGGGAATTTACTGAACTTAAACTGATTCACTGTTAGTGTAGAACTAGGGCAGCACGGCTTTTACTAACAGAATACAGTAATAGATAATAGGGCAATCCAACGACCTGTCAAAATGAAATTCAAAATGGAGGCCAATGCCTTTTTATTTTAAAAAAATGCCGTTTTATTGCGATTTTTGATTTTTATAAAGTCTGTAAAGTGTTGATTTTGTGGAAAATGCATACGTTATGTATTGTACTTAGCTGTGGGAGCCGTTCTAATCGCGAGAAAGTCTAGTTTCATGCCGTTCCTGCAGAGACAAAACACAGGTTTTTAACGGAGAAAAATGGTTTGTCTGTACTTTGTGAGGGCTTCATGGATTGTGGCAAAAAAGAAAAAATCTTACGAAATCCATATTAAAAAACCAAAAAATCTCTCTACATAAATAGTCTATGAATCCAAGCCATCATCTATCCTCCACATCAGCTTGTGTCGATACCTTAAATAGCAGACAAATAAAATCAACATCAGGATTCAGGATTTGGTTAAAAAAAAAACTAAACAGGAAACAAATCCTGGATAGTACCTACCTAATTGTTTAGTAGGTAAAGGTTTGTCACAAAGAAATCATAACTTTTGCAAACATCCGGGTTTTCCACTAATAATTTCTTAAACTAAAAACTTTCCATCTCAAAATACGAAAATTATCCTTCCAAACACTAGAAAGTCATCTAAAAACACCACAAAATACACAAAAAACAGTTTTTTGATGAAAAATGTCACGGTTGTTTGAATTAAATTTATGGCGCCAATTTTTTGGTATTGACCATGCATTGACCGCCATTTTGTTTGGATTACCCTATACAGTTTTCTAAAATAGTAGGTATATTGTGTATTTAGGTGGAAAAGTGACACATTCTGGGCCGACGGTGTAAGTTGACGGGCGAGGCGTGGCCGAGGCCGGCAAACACCGAAGGCTGAGAATGTGCTTTTCCACCGAAATACACATACTATTTTTTCTGCGATCTGTTAAATGATTGTCTTTTTGTTCCAATTATTCAGCAGTACGAGAATCACTTTCCCGACCTAGGCCGGAAAAGTGATTCCCGTATTGTTATTCATTGATTCCCTAGTAACTATTGAAACATAATTAAAATACCAGAATCTTGAGTTTTGCAACCTGTCAACCGGTCAAAAATGCTGACATTTCTTGTCAATCGCAGAAAAATAAAGGATAACGCACACCCAACATGGGATTTTTGGGCTCTATGGATTTTGCCCATTTTTTGATATGTTGTAGAGGATTTAATTTTGAACCACCTTCAAATGGGACAAAATCTTGTAGGTATTACGGTGTTTGAGATATGAACGTCGAAAGATCAACTTTTTGACGACTTTTTGTGTGGAGAGTATACGAGATACTGGTGCTACTGGTGTTTATCAGTCAAAATATTGACAGGTTCACATATTTCACGTCACTTAAAAATTAATGTCAAGTTAGGTTGAGGCCGGGACCGCACTGGATTCAATTTTGGCGCCAGTGCGGTCCCGGCCTTAGCCTATGTTGACATTTGATAGTGACGTGAAATATGTCAACCTGTCAAAATTTTGACTGATAAACACCTGTTTTTCGTATACTCTCCACACAAAAAGTTGCAAAAAAGTTCATCTTTCAACGCTTATATCTCAAACACCGTCATACCTACAAGATTTCGTCTCATTTAAAGGCTGTTCAGAATAAAATCCTCTACAACATATCAAAAAATGGGCAAAATCCATAGAGCCCAAAAATCCCATGTTAGGTGTGCCTTATCCTTTATACTCATTCTAGCAGCTAACTTTGCAGCTTGCAAAGAACAAAGAACAAGAACAAAGAATTTTTATTTGATGGGCCGTATTCATAAAACTGAAGGATATCCTTGTAAGTATAAGGTAGAAGTATATGGTTTTGAGTTGAAGAAAAAGGTAGAAGTATAAGCATTTCCTTTTTTTCGTATTCATAATGATTACCTTATACCTACTTGCAAGGATATTCTCCAAAAATAAGTAAAAGGTTCAAAGGTTGAAGTGATAACAAATGTGAGTTCATTTTTCAATGAAGGAGAACAAAAAGTCAAATCTCACAATTCCAAAAAGAGAAATTTATTTTTCAATAATCACTCATTAGACTACCATGGTTTCGGGGTTTAAAACTTACACCCCATCTTCAGGTCGAAGGGCTACAAAGAACAATAAAAATAATTTTCTAAAAAAAATCTTCCAAAGGGTACTTACAATTCAGGTTACAAAGTCAGGTATAAAAAAAGTGTAAAAAAGTTGTGAAAAAAGGTGTAAAAATGCAACAACATACAAAAAACAGTTAGGGGACGAATGGCCATACAACAAGACGAAAACTCTATGCTGTTAATTACGGCAGTCACTGTATGACATACTGTAGCTTGACTTACACCCAGTTCTTGACCAATGCCTTTCTGATACCCAGGGTCACTGAGATAACGTAACATAACTGCATTTTTAGGACAGATGATAGCGCACCTCCTCGAGTTTCAGCATTAATTCCCAAAAATCTGTTGACACGCCATTGCACATTTTCCTCTTCAAACCGGTATAGTTCTTTGTAATCACGAGCAGGTGTTGATAAACGTTGCTTGTAATGTTTAATTTCTCCCAGTTCCACAACATCTGCCATCGCTATAACTGATCACTACACGACTGAGTCTGTTACTGACCACACTCGAAATTATTGAAGGATATCCTTTTTATTTAGAAAAAGGTAACGTTTATGAATAACCAAATACTTTTGTGAAGGATATGCTCATACTCTTTAAGTATAAGGTTTTACTCGGAATATTATGAATGCGAGCCGAAGGATTTCCTTCATATTCTGCAAGTATAAGCATAACCTTTTTTTTATGAATACGGCCCAATATTTTACTTAACCCGGAAGCCCCAATATTTTTCATCTAATAAAAATAAAATATTAATTTTTTTAAAAATTTACCTAAAAAAATAGAGATCTGGGGGGGTAATTACCCCCTCTACCCCCCCCCCCCCCCATATCTACGCCCTTGTGCAGTGTGTATAGAGATAAATGCGGTTTGATAAACGAAAAAGGTAACAGTTTCAAATTCATAACCAACAATTTAGATTTTTCAAACGGTGTACAAAATCTCCTGAAAAATCAAACATCAGTTACCACTTCAATAATCAAAAGTTTCAACTCTACTCTTCAAAAACTATAAATTAATATAAATTGACGAAGCGACATTCCAGTAAAGACTTTGAAGAGATTAAGAAAATGCATTATGGACATTTCAGATAACAAAATTGTTTTCGTTGCTCCCATTGCTCGAACCTGAAGTTTATACCACCCTTTATCAAAATTTCCCAATCCCAATAAGCCTCTTTCACTTTATACCAACAATTAACAATCCACAAGTACATTGCACGACATAACGTTTCTATGCTGTTTGTTCGTTTATTCTAACCTGCTGCAGTATTTT